AAGGCTCTGGACATTGTCGGACTGTCTTGGCTGACACGTCTCTTCAATGTCGCGTGGGCATCAGGTACAGTGCCTGTGGAGTGGCAGACCGGGGTGGTGGTTAACATTTTTAAAAAGGGGGACCAGAGAGTGTGTGCCAATTATCGAGGTATCACACTTTTCAGCCTCCCCGGGAAAGTTTACTCTAGGGTGCTGGAAAGGAGGCTTCGGCCGATTGTCGAAGCTTGGATTCAGGAGGAGCAATGCGGATTCTGTCCTGGTCGTGGAACAGTGGACCAGCTCTTTACTCTTGCGGATCTGCTGAGGCCACCCCCGGGAGTTCGACCAGCAAGTCACATGTGTTCTGTGGATCTGGAGAAGGCCTACGACCGTGTTCCACAAGGGGCTCTGCGGGGGGTACTGAGGGAGTATGGGGTACCAGGCTCACTGCTACGAGCCATTCGGTCCCTGTACAACCAAAGTGCGAGCTGTGTCCTTATTCTCGGCAATAAGTCAGACATGTTCCCAGTGCATTACAAAGTAATGGTTTTGCGTTTTCTTATATTAATAATTAACACAGCTCTAATGGGTAAATGAATATTTAGGTGAGTTTACAAACCTTTCACTTACTTCATACATCATTTGTGACCCATCTACACAAAATCAGTGGCATTGCGCCTTGGACAATTATGCATAAACAAAAACAGCATGTTGCTACCACATGACACAAATCACGGGACAGGATTGATTGGCAATGACACATTACTCGTGCCTGCGCACAAGTGATTTCCGCAGCTTCTTAAGTGTTACCGCTCATGAATGCTGACGGTATTTGACAGCGTAGTATTACGCTCTGTGATATTATATGTTATCTCCATGTAGCAAACAGCTAAATGGAACGATCTAAGTAACAAACCCAAAATCAAAATTCTATCATGTGTTAATGTAATTCAGGCTGTATCTCAGATATAGCCCAAGGCGCAATGCGACTGACTTCGTGCAGATGGGTCACATTTCTGAGTTTGTCCCTAAATAATCTCTGTCACAACACTTTTGCCATTTTTCTCATAATTTGTTCTATCGGCCAGCAGAGGTCACCGCATTTGATCAAAATTTCCAAAACTTACGAGTCAAATAACATTCAAAAATAACAACACTAATGAAAAACTGTTTATTTCTAGTTGACTTTATTAAAAAATAACAAAATCATGACATGCAAACAGTCACACACACACAGAAAGCAGAATCCATCCATGTAAACTACATACATACACTGTTTCTGACATCATATAGATCCTGTTTACTGAGAAACTGTAAAAACAAAAACACATTCTTGGCAAGCCGACAGTTAATCTACAACAAAATCAATCGATCGCTAAGTGAAGGGTTTCATTTCAAAAGACTTTGCATCCAATTTGTTGATAATTAAAGGTAGAGGATAAAAATGACCTGACGTTCCCTGTTTGAGTTCCAAAAATATACAATATTTATATAATTACATGCAGTGAAATCTCCGGCTGGCGGCTCGTTTTGGAAGGAAACTCTTCAGCTTAGAAAATCTGACGACCAAACTACCGCAGTGCTGCTGCTGTTCACTTCTGATTTACATTCAGACCAAACAGAAAAACAAGAAATCTACAAAAATAGACCATTTTACACTTTGCATGTTGAGTCGCCTCCAAAAAAACATCACCGCTCTTCTTTAACATTATAGATCGTCTTTATTCACATATTGACAGATGAACAGGTGCTACTGTCGCTAAGCTAACAGCCGCTTTTATTTACTTAGAATGAAACCAAATCTGTCGTGGTGCTGAAGACAAGTCGCCACTTTTTATCCTCCCCTGATCAAGACCGCAGCACTTTTGCTTTTTTAGGATCAACAGAGTAATTCAGGTACTTTTATTCACTCAAATGCAGATACGAAGACACTTTTAAACACAGAGGCAAAGAAGAAAACGCTCTCGTTACCGGGGAGCATTTACAAATAATAAACCTGGAAATGACAATAAATCTAGTTTAAATCCAACCTGCAGTTTCATGTGGAAGTTTTAACCCGTTAACTACAAAATCCTGCAGGTTTAAACGGAGGCTGCACAGTTTTTTTGTGTTTGGTCGTCCACTGGTTTCCATTCATTTCTGCATTCATCTCCTACGCTTTAATGTCCTGAATGTCTTGTTGTTTGGTTTTCTGGTGCTCGAATCACTCCAAAGAAATTATAGACAACTTAATGTCCCACTGAAACCACTGTAATACCGTTTTTCACCACAAAAAGTAAACCAGCAGGTTTTTGAGACCGGCACTGATGTTCATATCTCGTTTTTCTGACAGTTTCTTGGCCGTATTTCACAATAATTCTAAGTAACATCATTAAACTGGACACTGTAGAAGAGCAGCAAACAAAGCTGTCATCATTTATATGTGATTCTACAGTCTGATGTATTTAGACATGTTTCTAAATCAGTAAAGACTTTTAATCATCTCTGAGGCCATTTTTGTGTCGAACTTTTCCAAACTCACAGGTATAAATGAACAGACTTCATGTTTTCGGGGGGTTTTCAAACAGAAATGGAAGGAAACCAGCAGCTCAGTGGTTCCCAACCTGTCTGACATCAAGGAGTTCTACCACCAGTTATACACGGGAGTGATTTAAAAAAAAAAAGTTGTTTTACTTCAATAATATTTAGAGAAATTCAATAAATCTCAAGAAAAGAAGGGGGAAAAAACTGTCAATTTTGCTGCTTTTCTTGGACTTACGCTTCTGTAAATGGAATATTTTTGGTATTTTAAAGGGTTGTTTATGACAAAATGAGACCGTGGACACCTCGTTTTATTGTCCAAATATGTACTTGAGCACTTGCCAAAAGAAAACCCTTTTTTTCTGCTCCACTATTCGGGTCTCCTGATTGAGAACCACTGATCTGAGCCAGTAGCTAACTGTGAGGTGAGTTGTGCAGCGAATGAGCAGATCTCTCACTCGTCGGTTAATTTGAAACTTCTTGTCGTTGGCGGTGTTTAAAACGCTGAGGAATGAAGTATCGAAGAAGGCGTCCCTCTAGGTGAACTCTGCGTCATGGCTTCATGACGTTTGAGCAGCTAAGACCTTTCTCCTGTTTGTACTGATGCGACATCACTTCCTGCCGCAGCTCTGCGCTCTCATTGGCTGACGATGAGCTGCCGCAAGTATGACTGCGTGAGGCCTCGCAGCTCCTCCAGCGTGTAATCCTCCGGCATCGGCAGGCGGCTGATGTGCGGCGCCAGCTGTGCCAGCGGGATGCTGAGGGAGTCGGACGCCGCGTCGCCCTGCTGCAGGCTCAGAACCACGCGAAGGATGTTCGCCACGCGCTTCGCCATTTCTGCAGGGAGGCAGGAGGGGCGGGGCTTAGTCAGGTCATAGCCACGGTTCTGTGTCGTTCTGCAGGTTGTCACCAAAGAGCAGCAGCTGATTTCACTCGTTAAACCAGAAGTAACCGAGCTTCTGACCACATACGAAGCAGCAAGAAGAAAAACGCAACAAAACAAATGTAAACCGCTACGAGGACGCATTGCAGAAAACTAGTTTTACTAAACAGCCTCTCAGCAGCCGGCAGGGAACGTTCCCACAACGTTAGATAACATTTCCTACAAGTTTCATAATTCTTTAAACAAAATGCTGCATTCAAATGCTCAAAGAATGGCTTCGAAAATAACATTTCCACTAATGTTCCTATGAAGGCAGTATGTCAACATTTCGATGATGTTCTATGACAGCGTTCTTAAATCGGCATTCAAAGAAGTTTAGTTCACTGGAGACAAAACCTGAACCTGGTCTGGATGGAGAGGATGTAATCTGACCTCACCCTGTGGCGTTCTGTCTGGACTCCCTGATCTGATCCTCCGTCTACCGTCAGCGACAGGGGTCGGGAAATGTCTGATTCTTAGATGCATCGCGATTCCGACGTGGACGAATCTGAATCGATTCACAAACGTCCAGATTTTGATTATTTAAATCTGTTAACCAAAGTGAAACAGAAGGTTTTAAATAATGCGGAACTAAGAAGCGCAGTACGCGTCATCTCCGGGACACCTCGCCGTGAGATCCAACAGCTCCGTCTAATTTTAAAAGCAGACGTGTGGAAACACTTCGGCTTCGACAACGTCAACTGGACAAGAGCCACGTTATATGTGAGCTGTGTCGCGCTAAAACAAAATACTTCTGGCAACACAACGAACATGAGAAGCCACGTAACTCGAGTCGGCAGGCTGCTGTTGCGGCTACGACTGATTACTGCACTGCACGAATTTTGTAACTTTCCAGTTTGCACACGTTTCCATGAGTTTAATAAAAATATAACTGAAATGAATTCAACTCGTTTCTTATTACAAATGCACTATTTTTAAAAAGTGCACGTGTTGGACGCTTGTATAGTGAGACAAAAGGACATGTGCGTAGTCGAACCGTGAGGTGGCCAATGATTCCCACCCGTCGGCAGCGAATCAGACGCGTCGGTGAAACCAGCTGCTGTCAGTCGGCGTGAAAGGCTGCAGACTCTGCCGTCGGCTGTCCGTGGCCGCCGTGCTCTTACCTGATTGGGCGAGTCGGTCTCTGGCGGTGCTGCAGGGCAGAAGCTCGATTCTGCTGCAGAGAGACGTCACGTCGGTGTAGAGGCGCTCCAGTTCATAGCCGGCGTTCTCCATCTGAGGGACAAGACATCAGACTCATGGGTTGGCGGTGGAAACCAAAACCACGTTCTTCCTACTCCATCACGTCGGCTATTTTTCAGACTGTGCGCTAACATCCAGTTTATAGACGTGTGGTGATATGAAGGTTATTAACACCGTAGAGTTTCAGTATCCAGGTTATAGACACTTACGGGTGATATTAAACAAGTCATTGACACTTTTATTAATATCTAAGTTACTGACACGTTTGTACGTCAACGTCCAGGATACTGATGTGTTTGTGTGTCATTGTCCACCTTAGAGACACTTTCGTGCGTTAGTATCCAGGTCATAGACATTTTATTTTGCCTAAACATTCCAGTTATTCACTCGTTCATGCAGCAATATCCAGGTTAGAGACACTTCTGTGGTTAATATCCTTATTACTGATACTGTTGGGAACGTTTTACACACGTCTGTACGTTTATATCCAAGGTCGTGACAGTTTTGTGTATCAGTGATTAGGCTACTAATACTTTTGTGTATTATCTATGCAGGTTATAGACACTTTGGGCGTTACTAACCAGGTTACAGGCAGTTTTTTTGCGTTAACAACCAGTTTCATATCCAGGTTGTCGAGGCTTTTGTGCGCTACCATCCACTGTGTGCTACGTTTGCGTATTAATATCCACGTTGTAGCCACCTTTGTGTGTTAATACCCTGGTCATAGAGTGTTTTTGGCATTAATATCCAGGTCAACAATAATCAGGTAATTTATATTTTTGTGGGTCAACATTAAGGTTACAGACGCCTTTGTGCACTAATATCTTTGCTAATGTTACATTTGTGCGTTAATATTAAGGTTACTGACAATTTCAGATTAATATGTTTCATACAAATCTTCAAACTACCTCCAACACCAAGAAGAACAAAGAGTTGTGTAACAGACGATCTGAACCCACAGAATCACGAAGCCCATTTGGACAGTTCTGAATTCATGCTTCAAGCAGCAGCTCTTAGAGGCTCGATATGTTAGACTGACTGCCTGAAGCATCTCGGTGGTTTTGCGTTTACCTGCTGGATGTCCTGCAGAGTCTTGATGACCCTGATGTAGTCCAGGTAAACCCTGCCTGCAGTGTCCCAGTCCTGGATGGTGGCGCTGTGCTCAGGGACCGCCAGACCCTCCAGGAACTCCAGAAGATAGTCGTGGTTGTCGTTGATGATGCAGTCTGCAGGAGGAACGAAACAACAGAGACGACAGCTTCAGACCTCACACCTTCCCCCTCTGGACGCTTCGCTGAAACTACACTTTGACGTTACATCTTATTTTAGGCAGAAAGTGTCGAGCAGCATGAACACAAAGGCAGTAGACGGAGGTGGAGAATGACACGTAGCTACGGAGGCGTTGTCATCACAGATCTTTACACTGAAAACTGAACCCAAACCTAAGCTTTTATCATGACGTGATTCTGTGTGTATATCTGCTCTGTAGGACCAAACTGATCATTCAGCTCATCTTCATGATACTTCTGTGTGTTGACAACCAGGTTAGTGACACTTTTGTGGAGTTACATCCAGGTTAAATCACAGTAGAAACATGACTTCACGGTTGGATCAACAGTCTGCCTTCTTCTGAGGTGCCGGTTTCTGTAAACTACATTCACATTTGTGAAAATCAAACTTCCCAGTCCCTGGGTATGAAGCAGGCTCTACCTGAGGCCAGGTGCTGGATGAGTAGCCGATGGCACTGGTTCCAGTATCCGGCCCGGTACAGGTGCAGCGCCTGCTGGTGCCGGTCGGCGTCGCGGCGGGCTCGGGTGGCCTTGGCCTCGTGGATCCAGCGCTCCGGGACCAGCAGCCTCTCGGTGAGGAAGCGCTCCCTGCGTACCGACTCGTCCGTCTCCTGCAGGGGGCAGTGGAGGGTCAGCATCTCCCTCACGGCTCGCTCCCGCTGGCTGGACACGACCAGAACAACCAGAACGTCAGACAGACATGAAGACATCTCACTGCTGCCACAAACTGTCACTGCAACACATTCTGACAGAAAATAACAGGAAAATCTTGTACTGCTTTACATGCAGCTACAAAGATCGTGCATGTGGCTGGTCTTTGGTTTATCTACACTGTAGGAATGTGTAGATAAAGTAAAAATAGAGTGCCAAAAAAAAGGTTAAAAACTGTTGAACTACTGTCATGTTCGAAAACTAAAACCGTGGAAATAACAGCAAAGTTTGGCAAAATAGTGATGTTTGTTCACTGAGTTAAATACTGAAAACTGTGCAGTAACACATCGGAAAAGATTCTTCTGTGTGGAGGTTATTTACAGACAACATTTAAATACTCGTTTTCTGTGATTCCACTGGAAATCATTTGTAACTGAACAAAAACAGGCAAAATCTGTTAAAAAAAATAAATAAAAATTGACCATTTTTCGAATCCTTAATATGCATATTTTTTTTCTTTTAAAAACAACATTATTAAAATAAAATGTTTGGCAATTAAAAAAATCATTCGTCTCACAGATGAAACTGTGAGATGCAGCGGACTGAAAAGTTCCTGTAACAGGTGAAGACAGCAGCGACAGAACAAACGGATGCAGCCTCCCTGTGGACGTACCTGTGGTCGGGGATGTGCAGCAGGATGAAGACGGCCATGTGCCAGAGGCCGGCGCTCTCCAGCTGGGCGGCGTAGCTGGCGTGGAGGAGTCCCTGCCGTGAGGAGCTCAGGTGGCTGTAGTGCAGCGCCTGCAGGACGCCCCACAGGTGCCAGCTGAGGCGGTAGTCCAGGCGCTCCCAGGTGACGGTGAGAGGATCCAACAGCTGCTGCAGGCTGTAGTGTCTGCAGGACGAAGCACGGGACGTGACTCAACATCAGCCTCTGAAAACTGAACAACCCTGAAGACGCTATCGCAGCTGAGGTTGGGCAACTACAAATCTGTTACGGTCTGAGGTTTGTGAGTGTTTATCAGGAGACACACAGGAAGTTAGACAGTCCAACTTTAATAGACTGAAATGATAATTACTGGAGTAAACGTTCCCTCTCCAGCTCCTCCAGCTTTCCACCAGAACAAATGCACATCAGGATTTTATATCCATCCATCATCTCTACACCTTAATCCTCACTAGGCTCATGGGGGGCTGGAGTCTATCCCAGCTGACTCAGGGTGAAGGCAGGTTCACCTGGACAGGTAACCAGTCTATCACAGGGCTACACTTAGAGACAGACAACCAAGCACACTCACATTCACACCTACGGACAATTTACAATCACCAATTAACCTCAGCATGTTTCTGGACTGTGGGAGGAAGCCGGAGAACCCGGAGAGAACCCACGCTGCACGGGGAGAACATGGAGACTCCATGCAGAAAGATCCCGGGTGTCCTCACCGGGACGTGAACTGGTGACCTTCTAGCTGCGTGGCAACGATGCTAACCACTGATCCACCAAATCTTTAACACTAATGCTATTCGTGTATTTCCAATACTCACATTTATCTCAATATAAAATAACAACCATGCAGTTAACACTGAACTATAGTCGACCTGCTTCATGTATTTAAGGTGTCAGTAACTGGATAGATTGTTAATAACTGTATTTAACTTAAATTTTGCACTAGAACACCTTAAACATGCTTTTTTTTTTTTTTTCTTTTACTCAGGTCTGTGATTATACATTAGTCGTTTACTGTCCTTGTTTAAATGCTCGAGTGTGTTTTAGTTTGTGTCACTACTTTAAAAACAAAGAAAGCACCGGATCCTTCTACGTGTTCACGTACTAGAGCAGTAAAACTGACTCTGATTTAAACAATAATCATCAAAATGCTTCACACTGAGCAGGATTTCAAGGATTCACACGACACAAACAAAACCTTGAATGACTGATGTTGTGGGCCTGGAAGTATTTTGGATTAATTTCAAAACTGATCAGCACTGAGGTTTATTTATTTTGTAGCGTGTGATATTTATCCTCCACAAACTGTAAAAACAGAAATAATCTTGAGAATTTCTACTTTCCGGCAGTCCTTTGACGTATCTGCTGTGATGTGCGGTTCTCTCAAAAAACTAATCTAAGCTTAGAATTGTGATATTTTATTTTTTTTAAATCCTTTTACTCTGCACGTCTTGTTTAAACATTATCCAGAGCAGAGAGGAACAAATAAAGCAACAGATTAAATGTGTACATTGGTAAATATCTACAGCATGTGAAGCCTCATTTCCCCCCAGGACTGGTCACACCTGTGGACGTGCCCATTTCAAGGTTTTTATTTTTTACGATTTCTGTCATTCAAACTGTCCCATAGAAGACATTTCTGGATAAGACGTGTGACGTGGGGATTTTAGGTTCACATTGTTTATATGACATATGATTCAATACATTTTTTCTCCTTCATGTTCTCCAGCTTTTATTTTGTGCTAAAAAATGTGACCCACGAATGCGACAGGGGCAAAAAATAAATAAACAAAATGTGCCCAGAAGCGGCTTGGGTTACAACGACAATGAAAATTCTGCCACCAGATCTTTTTGTCCTCTCTGTTCACCGATGAGCGACTTGTCTTTGCAGCAGCGGTGCGTGACGTTTAGTTTACCTGTCGCTGTAGAGCTTCAGCAGGTGGAAGCAGATGTCGTACAGCGGCCGTTTAGACTCCTCGTCCTCCTCCTCCAAATCCGGCTGATCTGCCTCCAAGTAGGGTGGCAGGGGGGCGCAGGCGTACTTCCCGCTATCGCAGGAGCCCTGCAGGGTTAAAATCCAGCATGTAAAACTAATAAAGCAGCTCAATGAAACACCTTTAAGTATTTAGGACGACAGCTCAACGCCAGCGGCTCACCTGAAAGGCGGCTTCGTATTTGACGAGTGCGTCGGCCACAGAGGCGGTCGGAGGCAACATGAACCAAAGGTGGACGGCCATGCAGCGCTTCCAGTCCAGCTCGGAGCAAACATTCACCACCGACTCAGACGACTGCCACACCTGCAGGGGCGACCGGAAAACGCACGCTGAGGTGAAACTGTGAAACTCCAGCACTGAACCCTAACTTTAAAAGTTCTAAGCGGAGAGGAGAACTGTGTCGCTTTAACCGCATTAAGGCCAATTCATGCTTTCAGCCTTCGCAATGACACTCGTGACACTGGTTCTGTCATCCACCCAAATCCATGAGGGTCCATGGACCGTCCATGTGCAGCCAAAAATGTGTGACCATGTGCCAGGAAACCCAGTTGTGATTTAAAATAAAAAATGGATACACACCTTCAAAATTGATCATTACCAGAGCTGTAATTCCAGCATTCTCTGCAGGACTTGCTTGAGCTGTGAGGAGGTGCTTTGATTAGTACAAGCTTCCCAATAAGGGAGCCAAAACACAGCGGCAAGTTTTACATTCGCCACAAGTCCTGTGCAGTGTTGCCCAAAAAAACCCACAGCCACAATCCAATTTGTAAGCAGCTGCAACATCCTGTGAACGTTACAGCAGCGGCACCAACTGTCGGCAAAACAAGCGAGACGACTGAATGTGTCGGGAAACCAAGTGGTTTCTAAAACAAATGGATTCTTCATTATGTACACCCCTCAAATTCAGCATTACCAGAGTTGTAACTGAAGCATTCCCTGTAGGAATTTGATTTGGACATGCTTTCCATCAACGGAGCCCAAACACAAAGAGAAGTTCTAAGTTCTCCAGATGTCCTGCGCTGCGTTAGCACACTGCTTTACTGTGATTCACTGACACGATGCTACAGTTCAATCTTTAACTAGCTGCTGTAGTCTGTAATCATTTTTTTTGTGTTTCATGTCAGGGGTAATGCGACCGTCTGTACAAACCAGCACGGTCCTCTTGTACTAGAACCACATCCATTCATGGGAAGGTGCACACCGATGCAGAAAGCATGAATTGGCTTTGGAGAAAAGTAACTCCAATGCGTTGTATGGAAAAAGGAAGACAGTTATGACAAATGTTTATCGTCCTTCATTCACAAACTAAATAAGTCCAGTGTGTCGTACTGGCTTGCCGGCGAGCAGCGCAAAGATGCGAAGTCGTTCTTCGGGCAGGTAGCAGTCGGTCTGCATGCGGTTCCAGTCGGCGAGCTGAAGGGCCAGAAGGTCCCGGCAGTACTGAGAGCCCATGGCCTGGGACAGCAGCAGGGACAGACGGTGGTCTCCTGGACAGACAAACAGATGCATGTTAGCAGTGCTGACATTTCATATTATTTATTTCCTGTCTGTCAATGTTCAGACCAGATAAGACGAGTCAGAGACTCTGCCGGTGTTGACAGACTCAGACTCGACACGTACGGATATATTTGAAGAGTCTAGTTTCTGCACATTTACAGGTTTGTAATGTCATCTTTAGGGTCGACTGGAATACGAGCACATGCTGTAATGTACAGATTACATCATTTGTCTCATACAGCACATTACTGCAGCACCTCTCATTTGAAACACTCTAGAAGCTACTTTTATATTTTCTATGTGCTGAACTGGTAAAAATCCAAGTTATTCAGGCTGTTGTCACATTTCTGGCAAAGCTGTTAAACCTCCAGTTTTCTCCTCACCTTCCTTCTGAGCGAGTCGACACGCCTCGCTGATGCGGTTTCCCGTCAGGTAGCTGAAGATGGCCTCCGTGTGGCGGCCCTTCCCCACCAGAGCCACCTCCTCCTCCACCCTGCAGGTGGCGCCGCGGGACAGCCAGGCCGAGAAGGTCCGCCGCCTCTCCAGCTGCTGCTCGTACTCGCTGGGCGCCTCGATGTCCGGCTCCTGATCCGAGGGGCCCAATCGGCCCCACAGAGCCTCGCACAGGGTCCAGACCTCGGCCCAGTAACCCAGAAGGGCTGGAGGGGAAAGAGAGAGAAAGAAAATCCTACGATGACAGAACAGCAGAGTGGACTGAATTCTGTAGAACCTGAAACACAGACTGTAAAACTGGTCCCTCAGGTACGACGTCTGCTACATGCTACATACTACTCATGCTGTCCGAGTCCAAAACCAATTCCCAGAAGGAGCCAAATGAAGCACGCATTGGTCAAAAAACTACCTCTAGATTATCGTTTAAAATCAAACTTGTGTATAATATGACTTCCTCTGAATAGTAGTCTGAGTATGTTTTTGCTTCTGTCTCACGTGTCTTAAATTTCTTGTGGTTTATTTTTACAGCAACATAAAGTCCTGCATCTCTATGGAAACAGAACAACATGAAAAAGGAGCGAGAACTCAGATGTCTTCTGTGCACAATGACACAGTTGGTCAGACATTATTCCAAATGACCACTGGTGTCATGAATGCTGGAAATAAACGAACGCTCTGCATACAACAGGTGTTTTACTGCCTACATGTGTGATTAGTTTCTGCTTTTCTCCTCTGATTGTAAACACTGCCTGCAGTTCGGCCAAAATGAGCTCCGAATTTTTGTAACAAGACTGGGATGAGCTCAGAATTTTTAGTTTTTTGGAAATTCGGTTGCTTCCCCCAGCGAGGGAGTTTAAGTATCTCGGGATCTTGTTCACGAGTGATGGGAAAATGGAGCGCGAGGTGGACAGGTGGCTCGATGCAGCGTCAGCAGTAAAGCGTGCGCTGTACCGGACTGTCATGGTGAAGAGAGAGCTGAGACGCAAGGCGAAGCTCTTGATTTACTAGTCCATCTACTTCCCAACGCTCACCTATGTTCACGAGCTTTAGGTCGTGACTGAAAGAACGAGATCGCCGATACAAACGGCTGAAATGAGCTTCCCCCGCAGGTGGCTGGGCTCAGCCTTAGAGATAGGGTGAGGAGCTCAGACATCCGGAGGGAGCTCGGAGTAGAACTGCTGCTCCTGGCATCGAAAGGAGCCAGTTGAGGTGGTATGGACATCTGATTCGGATGCCTCTGGGGAGGCTTTCTCTGGAGGTCTTCCGAACACGTCCACCTGAGAGGAGACCCCGGGCCAGACCCAGAACCCGCTGCAGGGATTGTATTTCTTGGCTGGCCTGGGAACGCCTCAGGATCCCCCAGGAAGAGCTGGAAAGCATCGCCGGGGGGAGGGAAGTCTGGAATGACCTGCTCCGCCTGCTGCCCCCGCAACCCGACCCCGGATAAGCGAAAGAAAATGGATGGATGGAAACTCGGTTACACTAAACGTTTTTTTTGTGCAAATTTTTAAATGGGAGATGTAGAATAAAGCGATTTGATCAAATATCTCGACTTAAGGGTGTAACTTGGTTGTTTTACCAGGTGAAACTCAGTCACACATGTTAAGGGAACATCAGAAAATAAAAAGTCAGATGATTGTTTTATTCTTACTCTGACAATTTATGTGATTTAGGCTTTGTTAGAATTTTTTATTTTTAACATTTTTGGTGTGCAGAGGGAGGATCAGTTACTGCTTTAGCTCCATCTGTGCCTCCATCACTTACGATCTGCGTCGCCCTGCTTGTCGTTCAGCTCGCTGATCCACTCAGCGTACTCGTGCAGCGCCGCCACGCCGAGTTGCGGTCGCACCAGCGGGCAGGTGGAGGCGTCCGGGGTGCTGATGGTGCTGTGCTTCAGGCAGATCTCCAGGGGGCGCTGCAGCACCGCCTGGCTCTCTTCATTGCCCTCCTCCTCGATGGTTTTCCCTCGTGGAGGCTCCAGACCCACCAGCTGCTCCAGAACCACCTTGTAGGGGCTTTCTGTCAGTCTGTAGCGTTTGAAAAGAAACCCACCAGTTTAGTTTGGAAGATGAATTGGATAAAAGGGACTTTCTCCTTCAAATAAATGTCATCCTTCTTCTGTATAATACACCTCAGCTAAACAAGGTGTCCTAACCCACAGTGTATCTGCTCTTCTAACCCTGAGACACAAATCAACACAGTGCAAAAGTGGACACAGTGTAAATACAAAATCTAAAATGGTTCCCCATTTGAATCACTTTAAGTCAGAGGGTTTCTGCAGTTACCAGATTAAATGATTGACTTTTTTTTACAACCACATTCATAATCCGTTTTCACATTTATAATCAGCCAAAAGACAAAAAATGAGCAGAGACGATGAAGAGATTTTCACTCCATCACCCGGTGCCTGGTGGAACTACATTCAAACAAGTTCCAGCTTCTGACGCCGTCTTACATCAGGCAAGAAACAATATTCAGGATTTCATAAAAGGCACTGAAGGCTGTTCTGTGGTGAAACTAGATTCAGTTTTTCTGATCTGGCAGAAACATCAAAACGGACTTATTTTAACAGCTGCCCAAATTCCTGACTCAGTTCAACAATGGACTTTAACACAGAAGACAGCCAGCGGTGTCTAGTGGCCCCCAAAGGAGGTTCAAAGACAAAGGATGGGAAATGTTGAAGTCACAGATCCAGCGGACATGTACCGCCAGTGTGTATTATCAAGGATAATGGTATCAGATCAGCAGATTCTAAATGTGAAACGACTCGGATCGAGGACAGAACAACTTGATCGGGACTTCCCTTCTTATTTTGTGCTGTGCGGTCTAAGTGTTTGCGTCTCTTACGGTTTGCTCCTGGCAGGTTTAGGCAGGAAGCTGAAGTCGGTCTTGGTGGTCAGTTCTTGGTGTTCAAGCTGTTTGGACGTCGACGAGCTCAGCCGGCTGCCGCAGTGCGCCAGCGTCCAGCCGGGACCCCACCCGACCCGGAAGGACCGGACCGCAAACAGCCCGGTGTCCATCAGCAACGCTCCCTGCAAAACAACAACACGGGTTACTACAGCGAAGGACAAAAGCTGCTGATTCCAACCTCAGGTTACTTTTAGCACCTGAAACGTTTTCACGCGACTGAACAAACCACCCGAGTACCGACCTTCCCCTGAGTGACCGATTCCTTCATGGGGACGGGTCCGCCCAGCCGCCGGACACCGACCGTCCTGATCGAAGGCTCTGGAGTCCTAGGAGGAACCAGGAAAGAGGAGGGTCCTGGCCCCGCCCACTGCAGCAACCGAGGGGGTTCGACCACCGCCGGAGACGCCCGGGACGAAGGCAGAGGAGGGCAGGGAGAGTCCGAGAGCTGAGACAGGAGGCCGGAGGTGAAGCGAGCCTGAAGGAGACCACCGACTGCACAGAGAGAGAAGGTCTCAATTCTCCATGAAATGTTCGTCCAACCGTGAAACTAACTCACGTAAATGAAGTCAAACTGATTAGGGAGCAGATTTGTGTTTCGTACCAGAGGGTCGGCCGTGAGCTCCCGGCAGGACGAGGCGAGGAGACGAGACGTCAGCGGAGACCTTCATTGCCCCCTGATCCTGGAACATGTCGCCGTCATCCTCATCCTCGGCAAACAGGGACGCCTTCATAATCTGCCGACAGACAAACCGCTTCATTTAATCCCTCACGGAAACAGGAAGTGATTAGAATCGGATGTGAAATGAGAGTTTAGGGATGGTAATTGCTGACAACAATTTAAGTGCGTAAAAACATATCAACCGATTACGCAGAGAAGAAGGGACATGCATGCTACAAAATGTATCACAGACCAGCTGTAGTACCTGGTTGTTCCACCAGGTGGAGCCCCTCACTGTTTAGTACTGTACAGATCAGAGGCAGGTCACTCAGACTACAGCTCATGTTGACAGCAAAGAGCATTGTGGGAGTTTAGCAGCAACGGGACCAAGACAGAGACTCTGAGGAGGTTTTTGGTCAGAGGTCACATTTTCAGCTGTGAAAGTCAGGTGACGGTTAAGATGAGCTGAGTCAGCATAGGGAATATTGTTCACTGTTGCGTAACAGAGACCAGGTAGCGTCGAGCCCCTTTCAGGTTACACGTCAAGGGTTATTACCTTGACAAGCCTCAGCTATGCTTCTCCAGCATGAGAACTGACATTTCTCCATTATGTTAGTATGTAATTCATAAACGGACCTCTGTGTAGCCCACTGCAGTCAGCTAGTGGGTCAGCAAAATGTTTTATTTATTCACATTTGTGTCTGTAAATGTACTTGTGTGCTTTTCATTGTTTTGTTGACATTAGATAAATGTATGTGCCTTCAACGGTGGTTGAACTAAAAAAAAATAAGGCCTTTAATCTACTGGTCCTGTTATTAAAAATAGGTCAATAATTACCAATGTTAGCCTGAATTATATCGAGCTTAGCTTGGATGTGTCCTACACACACTTTCACTCAACAAACTGTTTGGACCAAGAGTTACAAAATGCTAATGAAGGGGTTTTAATACTTTATACGGGTCTTCATTTGCCCCAAATTGATTTATGACCTTTTATTACATTTGCAGCGACGGTGCTTTAAATCCAAACTAAAACTCTTCATCTTTTACCTTGTCAACCAGCTTCTCCTCTGAACGCTGTCACTTCCTCCAGTGTGTCGTCTTCGTCTCAACACATCTTTTACTGATTCGCCTGTCTTGTCCATGTTGTCCTGCTGATTTTTTATTATTTGTATTATTTGGTTTTTGTCCTTCAAGCACATAAACGTCCAAACTTCGCCTCTGTAATTTCACATCTTTATTTGCTTGTTTTGAAGGTCTTGTTTGGGTTGTTCTCATGAGTAGGTGAGTTGTCTTCGTACACTTTGTTTCCAGACTTGGGAGGAGGTTTTGCGTCGACACCTCAAGCTGCTCGTCAATAATTTTGTCATCCTCATTTGTCAACACTAAACTGCTTCCATGTTTTCCCCATAGAAAGATTTGTTGTCGTGCTTCTCATCTGAACTGAAGTTGTCGTGTTCCGTACAGATGGAGGTACGTAAATTAAACCTGACTCTACCTGGAGCGTGTGCGGGTTGATGCCCAGCGAGGATGCGATGTGGCCGGATGCAGAGACGCCGTCGTGCTCTACAGACGTCAAACCTCCGAGCTTCCCGGCCATCGTGTCCATTTCACCGGCCGGCAGGTCGCCGCCGTCGTCCTCTCCTCCCAGCACGCTGTCCGTCGGGAAGCTCTGGGTGATGTCGGCCATGTCGCTGTCCAGCTCCGAGACGCCGCTCGGAAGATCCACGACCACCGTGGACTGAAAGACACGAGAGTCACGACTTCTAACATCAAAAACAGACCAACAGAAACCTGGTTTGGTAGCTAAACATCAGTGACTCAGGTCCAAACATTTATGAAGACAACCCTGAGATTTCACATTAAAAGAATTAATGCAAGACTCATGCAACGTATGTTTGTATGTTTTGGTGCAGGTTTTGATCTTAAACCAGCTTAAAACTACTCAGTATCATCTTATCAAAATTAACATTTGGGGTTTGTGCTGCCTGGTGCAGGTCTGAAATCAGAGTCCTTCCTCTGTATGTGATGGTGCAGTTTACACTTAAACACCAAAAACTGTTTAATCTGTGCACAGAAAGAAACCTGAAAGTTTACGCCTATTGGTTCAGCTAATGTTGGATTATCCATCACAACATCCTGGAATCGAAGGGACGCCTTCAAATGTCTTATTTTCAAACAAAACACCTTCAAAAATTTAATTTACAGCAATTTGAGGAACAAAAAAAACAACAATTTCTTAGATTTCAGAACTTCAAATTGACAAATGTGTTGCTTTTTTTTTTTTTTTAAACATCCAGTCGGTGGAATTTTTTTCTCACTATCCGCTAATTGTTGGATAATTACAACAGTCCAAACATACAGGACAAACTAGGTCCGACTGGTGCAGCTTTAAACACTACACATCTTTACACAAACATTCCAGACCAAAGCTTAAATGTCATTGACTTTATTTAAATTTTCTTTAATAACTTCAAAGTGAAAATTAGTACAACTTGTGCCAAACATCTTAAAGCAGTCGTCTAAAATGCTTCCCAGTGAAAGGATTTTCACTTAACATTACATGAGCTGTAAGTGAGGCGACTATTAATCCAAACAGTTCAGCATAATAAGCACATTCTGTGTATGACTTTCTTGAACACACACCTTAAACACCATAAAACATCTGTTCACCGACAGAACTTCTTTAAACAGTTGAAGAGCACCTCCCAACAACTGCATAATATACGTACGGGGTGCGATCAAAAGGTTCAGAGAATATTCGTGTTGCGAGCAGGAAGTGCCACGAGTCAGCTGACTGCGTGACGTCACGCTATGAACGTCAGGACCTGTGCTACACTCACTTCTGTGACCACTGTTTAAGATTTCAAACATCAGTCAGTCGCTGGAGAATCACTGTGGTGACCAGAAGAGGGTCTGCAGCTACCATCAACAGAACCAACAGCAGCCTAACAGCAGAAGAGCCGCGATAGTCAAGACTGGAGAAGGAGCACCGGGAGCACTCACATGGTCGTGCACCGTGAATTAGTCTGTCGAATTCTCCTGCAACGTCCCGAGGGCTAATTCAAGCCACTGAACTGCGGTACGATGGCACAACGATCCTCCCTCCATCAGCCCTGCTCACCACATTTATCTCCCTCTTCCCCAAAATTGGAATTCAAGTTCAACTGTTGCTGTTTTGACACAGTTCACGTTTCCACTGACTACAGCTGCTTTACAGGGAGTGCTACAAGCATCTCTGCACAAGAAAAACACCTCAGCGACGACGGAGGCCAAGTTTAAATCAGGTGTTTTTGGTTATTGGAGGAGAGGTCTCAGAACCATTTGATCACACCTCGAAGACGCCACACGAACTCTCTGCTCGAGTTAAAGCTAAAGCAGCAGCAGACTCAGAGCTGCTGGACTGTCTAAAAATATCTTTAACTACAGATCAACGCTAAGACATTCAGAGTCTGTTAGAAAAGGTTTCCTCTGTTGATTCTCTCTCTCTCTTTTTTTTTAATGATTCTATCGTTCTAACTGTGTCATCCTGCACAGAAGACATTTCTGAGTTCTCTCTCTTTCTATTCATGGTTGTTTGTTTCCATAAAGCTGCCGGACTTTATACTGCAGAGAAAAACGAGCACAGGACTCTTAATTTTGCCTGTTAATGTTTCCCATCTGTTGCTGGCCAGCATTACACTTTATATCTTAAAAGTCTCTCTCTTAATTTCTCCATAAATAAAAATATTAAAAACACTTGCGCACAGTCTTCCTTTCATGTGAATCCATCAAATCTGGAACCGCTTCCATCTAAAAGCCTTCCGTCCACGTCACCAGTCTGAAGTCCTGCTCATCAATACATCATAAAAGGGACGGTGCTCGTCTAAAGAGCGGCTAAATGCAGATCAGAGGGCTGCGCCTCAGAGCGAGGTCAATGCTATGTTGGGCTTAAAGTTGAAGTTTTCAGTGTCACAAAGCTGGCTCTTCCTTAACCTACTAAACTACCAGAACTAACCTGCTCCACGGGAGGTTCAGTTCAGAGTTGGCATTCAAATCAGCTCCCTTCAACCAGTAAGTTTCCTGATGGTTCAGATTCTCAGCCCAGTTCATTTTACTCAGTTACATTAATCTCCGTCTCCATCTTGGGCCAGTGTCAGACCTCAATGCACTTCTTCAATATCATGTTTAAATGAATCAAGCTTGAACTTCCAGAGCGACTGCACTCAGAGCACACTTTTCCATCAGCATTTCTCTGTTTTATCATTTCAAGAAGCAGCACTTTTTACGGTGGCAAACGACCGCAACAACCTGTTCCACCCGACTGAAGCAGGCGGCAGGCGGTCGGCCCCTAATGTGCTGAAAAATAATGAAGGCAAAACAAATAACCACCGTCACGATGTTCTGCAGCTCTGGGGTTTAGATTTTGTCGGCTTACGATGTCTGGCTAAATCAAAGCTGCTCCGTCTTGCAGCCCTCTGCTTCCCTGACTGCAGCATAAAAAAAACTTCTGAGATGTACAAAACAGTTTAAAAACATTTAAAATGGATGAATGTGTTAAAATGACAAAAAAAAAAAAAAAACAACACAAAAACAAGTGTCGTGTTTTTGCAGCTGCAGGCTCAAAAACAAAAAACCAAAACAAAAAATGAATCCCTCTGCTACGACCAGACAGCTGGACACAGGTTTGAGTGGATCGCTCCTTTAATCAGCTCAGGTGTGTCAGTGAGGATGAGGAGGATGAGGAGTGTGGATGGGCGCAGGCTGCTCTACCTGAGCCTGTGGCGCCACCTGCTGCTGGGAGGGGGGAAGCTGCTGCTGCTGCTGCAGCCTGGAGGGAGGAAGAGTCATCATCGTCTTCAGCTTCTTGGGGTCGGCTTTAGGCGGCACGTCCTCGTCCTCATCGGAGTCCTGGAGGCCATACTTGGAGAAATGGGCCACCTGAGACAGAGAGGGGGAGGAGTCAGTTACACCTGAGGTCAGCAGGTCGGGGCTTTTGGTTCTTTCCCATCAATGCTTGCACTTGTTCATAGGGAACCCAAAGGCCACTTTGGATTGTTGGGTTCTCTGTTCAAAATTCATAAGGTCAGTACTTCACTAAGTTAAACGCTGTGAGATGACATACGTTTGCACTATACAAACAAAACTGAACATGAAGTGATGGGAGCTGCTGGCGTCTTTAGGTCGTCAGGTAAAACTAGCCACCTGAGGCTTCAATAGGATTTTAAAACACCAACACAGAAGCTGCATGTCAGAGTGTTACAGGAAGCATGCAACACTCTGACATTTAAACTAAAGTGATAAAGTGTGTCGCGACCGTGCTGAGGATAAACAAGTTTCAGAGGTGGCAGTGACAGATTTTTCAGACTCATAAAGTTACTGCAACAGTACTTGTGAAGGGAACGTTACTTGTTTTTAAAGGTTTAAGGCACCATCGGGCCGCGGTACCGGGCCGCACAGAATAAAAACGTTTTATTGGTAGATTTTATTTTCAGCGGAGTCCGCAGGGTGTTTTATTTTGAAAAACGACTAACTCGTCTTTCCATCACTTGACTGTCAGTTTTCATGCTGGCTGCTAAACGGAGCCGTCGGTCCATCTGCTGCCGAAATGAATAAAAAACAAACGTCTCTGGAGAGCGTCATCAAAAACAGGGAGACTCGATCCTGAGACAGAAGAAAATGTAAAAACGTGTTTAGCAATAAAAAGTAATTTTATTCGTTTATGACACTTTCAACAGAAAAAAAACGATGATTATTTGCGATGTGTGCGATGACCGGTCATGTCTTGCTTGAAACCGGTCCGTGGCGCAAAACAGGTTGGGGACGGCTGCGTTAAAGCACCAAGTTTAAAAAAAACAACTCAGTGACTGATGGATGTTAAAGGCAGACTCATATATCAGCAATTTACCAGCCAATCAGTTTTTGTTTCAACATAAATAACATCCCTGATCACAGTCCCCAAGCATTGGTGTTTTAAAAGAATTGCAACCACGATAAAGAATGACCAGTTTGTCAGCGACGTCTCAGACAACGTAAACATGAATACTTTGATTTTATTGTTGCTTGTGGTGTTTTTGATACTGATCCTAAAACTAAGATCCGGACCAATCACAGCATTTTTTTTCCACTGACGACTATCAACACAAACCAAAGCCTGATCCTTTGCTAACTTCGTGAATGTATAAATATTACGGCATTATCAATCAATAAATTATTAATCTGAGTACGCTAGATATTTGTGCCGTTTTCAGCCACAACTACAGCTAACCTGCAACACTTGTGATCTTATTATCTTGGAAAATGTTACTGGATTGGAACTCGATCAGCAGATACTAAATATTAAACGACTTGTCGGATCAGGGGCAAAAATAAACTTGATCGGGGCATCTCTTCTTATTGCCCAATACATGTCCTCACACTAGTATAGATCTACAGTAATGCTGCTTTCTTTTAGGACATGGAAAAAAAAAACCCAGAATCAATCAATAAAAGAGAGAAATTCAGAGTAATTATCTGATGTGAAAGTTCAGGCAACTGACCTCGAACACCCAGGATCCGGTCTCGGGCCGATACTCGAGGAAACGGGCTCCCTGTTTGCGCGAAGCTTTCTCCAGCCGTCCCTCGTAGTTCATGTCGGTCAGTCGCTCGGGGCTCCTGATCTGAGTGCAGGTCGTCTTGTCGTTGGGCCAGACGCCGTCCAGAGTCACCTCCGCTCGTCTGTGAACACAAACCAGTCAGTCAGTTCATATTTATCGCTTTGATGTGTCTTTGGTTTCTTATTTGAGTATGTGTGTGCAGTTTGTTATCACAGAATAAAGTCAAATCCATGATATTTTGCTCCACTTGGGCTCCCGTCGCTCACCTGTTAAGCCCCTCCCCCTCTGGCGGCTTGTTCTTGTCATCTGGGTACACGATGACCTCTTTGCGTCTGAAGTGGACAATGTCATCGAGGTTCAGTCCCGTCACGTTGACCTCGCCGGGGAAGAAGATGGAGCCGTAACCTGTGAGAGCCAATCAGAGCAGAGCGGTGAGATGACTGTCCAATCAGGGACGACTTTAGATGAGTGGAAAAATGACATATGCTAAGAATCCCTGATGTCATTTTAGTGAATGTGTGTGCCCTGGAAAGGAGAATAAGATGAGCCACCAGCTGTTACCTTTCCTGCCGATGCTGAAGTTTTCCACGATGCACTCTCCGTTTTCGTCCACCATCTCAGCGAGGTCGTCCATAGAGGGGATAGTATAATAACCCACCCGGTTCAGAACGATGCCTGAAAAACACAATAAAGTGTGTGGTGCTTTTACTCTGCAGCTACAATCAAAAGACGAACATCCATCCAGCAGATCAACTGGTTGAAGTAGGTGAATGGCTTTTTCTGACCTGCAGGATGAGGAGACTGTTGGGACTCCGGCTGCTGCTCCTCCTCCCCCTCCTGCAGAGATTCTTCCCCCAGAGACGCCGACACGTCGTCGCTGCTCAGCTGAGGGCAAATAAAAACATGAAAATCAGGGAAGCAATAACTTTGAATGTCATCCCGCCGAGCGTCGAAGCTCCCAAGCCGGATGCTTGGTGAGTCCAGATCAGCTGTGCGGTGAGGCTGCTCACCTCCAGGCCGTTCCTGGACGCTTTGTGCATGTTCAGGTCGCTGATGGTGTCCTGCAGGCTGGTCTGGGCTCGGCCCTGCGGGATCGGCTTGGCGATGGGGTTGACGTAGAAGTGGGTGACCTCTGGGTCGTCGTCCGGCCGGCTGCTGGGTCCCGGAACCTCCCTCAGCTCCTCGTCTTCCTCCACATGGCTGCAGAACAGACGGCAGTAGAGGGTGAGACAGAGGCAACGTTCATGCGTTATGTGCAGTATTCAATTTATCAGGAAACACGCGGGAGACAGTTTGGATTGAACGCAATACTGTCTCTATAAACAAAACACACACTGATGCTCCATCCATGATTACAGGTGCACCCACTGACTCAACTCACCAACAGTCTCCGACTCCGACCTGAGCGACAGTTTTGACTTTACGTGCAGTATTGATGTATTTATTGCATTTATTCATATTTTTACGAATACAGTTTGTATTTTTTTTTAACCTGTTTTGCTGTGTTTCTAATTGTGATTCAGATCCTCCTTCGCATGTTTTGGTGCACAGTTTGGCAAAACAGGAAGAATGTATCTCAACCTGGAAGTCAATCTCTCTCTTCAAAGAAAATTCTAATTACTGTTGCAAGTTACAGTCACATATTAATCATATTTTTTCATTCACTTGTTAGCGAAATAGAAGCAAACTAGTTTATTTGTTGTTTTGTACACTGATCTGTGAAAAAAAAAAAAAAAAAACGTCTGAAGGACTGATGACTAAGTTCAGGATTTCTCAGTCTTTATAGTCAGAAAAAAAAAAAAAAAAAAACGTCTGAAGGACTGATGACTAAGTTCAGGATTTCTCAGTCTTTATAGTCAGGATGACATCAGCGAGAGCTGGAGATGAAAATCTGCAATGAGCTCCACCTTCAAACTGTGTAAGAGCCGTCATCGTTTCGTATTGTTTTAAATTAGGTGAACAGCTGTCGACCTCTGAAACAGCAGCTGACCAGTGTCACCAACCATCAGAGGCTTTAAATCGTGGTGCAAATGCAGATAGAGGGCTGAGGGAAACGGATTCCTTGTTGAGTTTTATTATCTGTAACTAAAAGTTTTGGCACAAGCATAAAAAAAAAAATCTATATTCTGAGATGAACCAGCAACAGCGAGTTCCAGCTTTGAGCTCTCAGTCTTTCCTGTCTGCATCAGGGTTCAAACCTCCTTGAAATGAGAGATTTCTTCACCGGATGTGGTTTAAAGGGGCATAAACAAACCTCAGTGTTGAACAGTCATGAAACGGTATTATGTGTAAATGTGTAAACGGACCTGTGTCCGTTCTGCGGATACTCCGGTGGCGAGGCGAGGTCGTCGGTCTCTTTGTTAATCGGACTGCTGTACTGACTGCTGTTCAGGTTCTTCAGCACAAGTTTCTTGATGCTCTTCCTGCAGAGAAAGCAGTTGCATAAAAGCCAGTTCGAGCTGTGACAGCACTTAATTTGATGATAATTTCCGTTTAAGCGAGCGTTGCAGTACCTCGGTATGAAGGCTCCGTTGGTGAGCGACGGCTCGTCGTCATCCAGGCCGTCGAAGAGCTGCGACTTGGAGCCGCCTGAAGACGTCAGCGCTTTGGGTCGGACTCTGGTTGCAGGACGTGGGGTCAGCTTGTAGTGGGTGGGCGTGGTCAGAGCCTTCTGAGCCGTCGGATTGGTCGGTTTCAGACGCTGATGGAACAAAGGAGGAGGTGTGATTGGACATTTCGACCTGAGCCATCAGAGCTATTCTTTGTTTACATCTTGGAATGATTTTTTAAAGCCTCAACTTTTGTCTTCCAGAGCTTTGAGTGACAGTTTGTAAAGTGAACATACAGTTTGACAAAAAAGACAAAAAGCAGTCTGATGATGTCGTGAAGCAGGGTGGGATCGTGGGAATTGTTTTCATCACTGTTGCATTTTTACATTCATGCGACGTTCCTCGGGCAGAAATAAGATGAGATGATGTATCTAAGTTTAATCCAAGTTTTGTCGTTTAGTGTGTTTCTACAGCAGGTAAAGGTGATACGACGCCACTGACAGCCGACCAAAATGAAACTCACCAGTTAAACTGAACAGAATTAAAGACTTTTGATGTAAATGTTGGAATTACATTATCGCACAGGACAACAAAGTATGCAGCGTGTCGATTTTCAATGGAAATGTTGGATATTATATCTTTAACAGGCCTTTTTTAAAAATCTTTATGTTGTTGTTGTTAATGGTAAATAATAAACGGTCTGCACTCGAGTTATTCTCACCTCCTCCTTCTTCTTGGGGTCTGACAGCGGGTTTCTGAAGAGCGGCGAGTCTCCGTACGGCGAGTAGGCCAGAACGCTGAGCTGCTGCTGAAGCATAGCCTGCTGGGCGGCGGCAGCGTTTGGATCTGTGAGGGCTGGAAGAGAGAAAAGGCATTGGTACAAACACTGATGGCTGTAGTCAGAGCGAACAGCCGGGTGGTTTGATGGTTTTATTAACTGGACTGCACAAGGCAGCCAGTCAAAGCACCATCATATAAAAATCCAACACGAAACTGTGTTTATCATTGGGGCCTGACTGATGTAGATTTTTTGAGGTCGATGCAGATTCCAATATTTGGCAAAAAAATAAAAAATAAAAATTTGATAGCCGATTAATTTATAAACTATATAATGAATAAAATAGCTTCTTTTCGGTCCCTTAATGCTACACCAACAAAGACATGAATCACAGGCAGAACATTTGACTGTTTTACACTTTGCCCTTTAGTATTTGTTCAACTTTACAACAGAGAGAAGTTTCAAGAACAAAAACATGCAGCAGAGCATTAAACATAATATGCATCAGTAAAAAGAAAAAGTTTCCAAACAATGACGTCTGTAATGTGGGTGTTTTATCTTAAATTTGCATTGTGCATTTTTCTTCCATTGGAGCATGAATATAGCTTCCAGTTGTACTGATGAATTTACCTTTAGGTTTAGGACACAGGTGTGTGCTGTTTATAAGCAGCATAATGAGGGAATTTACTGGCAGAACATTGTTGTTACATTATTAGACAGATAGAACTTTATTGATCCCTTTGGTAGAACCTCAGGGAAATTGTTATTATTCTGATGTTCTGTACTCTCAAAGACTGTGCTGTCTTTAAAGTTGATGAGAATAAGATAATAAAAATGTAAGTTAAAAAGTTAGATAAAAAGTTTAAAAGCTGTTTTCTGTAGTTCTCTGAAAACCCGTCAGCGTGAGGCTCTATGCCTGTTTTGGTTCCAGACTTCACGGCAGAGTGACTGATCTCACCGCTGGACATTCGTGAACTTTCTTAACTTTTCGTCATCTCCATGAGCAAAGTTTGACTTGTTTACAACAAGTGGCAGCAAAACCAGAGCTTTTTGTGATGTTACACACTTTTGTCTTGGAGAATATTTGTCTTTTTACTAAATCAAATTGTACAAAATGAATGAAAGCATTTACTGCTTTATGAGAAATTAAGAATATATCGGCAATTAATCGGCAAAACTCTGGCTGATGATGAGTATTTTTAAAAGGGCTATAATCTCAAAACGAGCAGCTGCTCACCGACGGGTTGTTGTGGAGCTCCGAAGCCCAGCGTGCTCGTTCCGCTGTTGAATCCCGTCGCTCCGAACGTCCCCATCGTTCCCAGTGTGGTGCCCAGTTTGTTCTGGTTGTTCCCAAACAGAGTCTGTCCTGTGCCCACTGCTGGACGCACACAGCTTTGTGTTAATATATATGGAAGGACAGCCTGCTCTTTGGTTCAAACACTAACCAGATGATGTTCGACTGACAGGAGTCTAGTGCGCTGCAGTCAACAATATGGGCTGATTTTTAGTTAGTTAGTGCTCAAACAATTAACTGACGTAAAATTCACGGTGGACAATTCTCGTAATTCAATATTTTTTTCTCTGGTTGAAGCAAAATATGAGGATTTGCTGTTCCAGTCTAATAATAGCCAAATTAGCCCCAAAAACTGTGACAATGACACAAAAGCAACACGAACAGCCCATTGACTTCAGTGAATTTGCAACATAAACACTCTTGATTATAAAACTACAGGGTGAGGCTGAAAACACACATATACAGCCAAGGAGAATATTCTCCATAGAATTATCTACTTTTAAACTGAAAATGGTCCCAGAGGAAAGCCATGTGTTTATGCGTTACCTGTTCCAAAGCTGGTTCCCAGTCCAGTGCCCAGCCCTCCGGTGGTCGACTTAGTCCCAAAAAGACTCCCTCCAGCAGGGTTTGCCCCAAAACCTACAGTCAGCGAAAAAACACAAAGGTTTAAAAAAGCCTGACGCATGAGCTGTGCTGCTTGAGTCACCTTGAACGCTAACTTTAAAAATGTTAAACCATCCAATTAACTTAAGTTTTTCTGCCTGAACTAGCGGCATGCCAAAAAATGTGCCAGCTAGGCGTCCAGTCGCTTTCTACATTTGTGTAAATCTCTACTAAACCTCAGAATTGGTGTTTTTCTTTCTGTTTCAAACTGCACACGCTGAAGAGCAGACTTACCGAAGGTGGAGGTGTTGGTTCCGGTTCCCAGCGTGAGAGCGGGCTTGTTTCCAAAGAGCCCGGTACCGGTGCCGAAGGACGGAGCGCTGGTGGTGGTGGCGCCGAAGCCCGCCGTCTTATTGCCGAATAAACTCTGCTGCAAAAGGCAACACGCACACGTGAAGAAAATCGATTCACGGTGACTTTCAGAAAAATATTCACAACTCTGCAAAAGCGGTCTCATTTTAACAGAAACAGCTGCTTGTGAATCTACAGCTCTTACCTGCGTGCCCACGTTTCCAAATCCAGGGTTGGTTTGGCCGAACAGCCCGGTGGCCGTCCCGAACCCGGTGGCGGTGCTGGTCTGAGCCGTCCCAAACAGGCTGCCTGACTGAGACGCTGCCGTGTTCCCAAACAAACCCTGAACAAACGCCAACATATCCTCACTTTAAAAAAATGAAGCAAGTTTGACATTTCCCGGCTTTCCTCGTGTAAGTCGGCTCGACAGAAACTGAAAGTCCAGTCAGCGATAACAGTCATCAGGAATGTAGTCGTCAGCTTTCTTTGTGCACTCAGATGTGCTGCTTGTTCACATAAAGAGGAGTTTAATGCGTCATCTGACTGTTCTTCTACACGCCTGTTTAACTCCATATTGTTAACGATGATGTATTGAAGAGCATTTAGGTCTGACACTGTCCCATAAAGCAGGAAATTGCTTTAATTTTTAGCTAAATCAAAGTAAAGTTACTATTTTAGTATTCTCTGTAATAAATACTAAGAAAAACAACTATTTTCTAACCTGTGTCCTATCAGCTGCATATTTGTGTGATTTTTGCATCACCATCTAAATGCGTGTAGGTTTCCATGGCAACACGATATATTCATACAGTGTGCGATACTGTAACTGCACGGCTTCTTTCAGTGGTTTTAATAACGTACAGATCAACAGGTTTGCAGATAAAAACGGTTGCTCTCAGCTGAGAACCTGAATCAGTCATAAAAAATAATGAGGAAACGATTTTGTTTGAAGAGAGACGCTTTTGTGAGCCGATATAATTCATGAACTCTGAACAGAGCTCGATCCGGACCAGGTTAGCTCCACAGCATCAGTTACCATGGAGATCTAGCTCCACAG